GTGCGTTTGAGTGCGTTTGCGTGCGTTTGCGTGCGTTTGCGTGCGTTTGCGTGCGTTTGCGTGCGTTTGCGTGCGTTTGCGTGCGTTTGCGTGCGTTTGCGTGCGTTTGCATGCGTTTGCGTGCGTTTGCGTGCGTTTGCGTGCGTTTGCGTGCGTTTGCGTGCGTTTGCGTGCGTGCGTGGGGGTGTGGGTGTGGGTGTGGGTGTGGGTGTGGGTGTGGGTGTGGGTGTGGGTGTGGGTGTGGGTGTGGGTGTGGGTGTGGGTGTGGGTGTGGGTGTGGGTGTGGGTGTGGGTGTGGGTGTGGGTGTGGGTGTGTGTGGGTGTGTGTGAGAGTGTGTGAGAGTGTGTGAGAGTGTGTGAGAGTGTGTGAGAGTGTGTGAGAGTGTGTGAGAGTGTGTGAGAGTGTGTGTGTGTGTGTGTGTGCGTGTGTGCAAAGGTACGTGTAAGTGTAAGTGAAAGTGTAACGTGTAAGTGTAAAACGTCGTAAAACAATGACAGTGTAAGAGCAAGTAAGTGTAAGTATACGTGCAAGTGTAGGTACCAACATTTCTGATGTGCACAACAAAAATCTGCCTTCACCCAGTCGCCGTGCTCATGGAGGAATGCCTGGCCGACTGAGCAGTTCCAACCGAAGCTTACAACAATTTGTAGGGGACCGCATCTTCGCTGGGATGGACTCTGGATGGAAAAAAAGGTAAATATGTGAAGCAGACCCCGAAGTCTTAAGCAATGCCAAATCTTGCACATTCAATCTTGTGTGACAACTTGCACAGTATCGGAAAACAGCTCCTGTTCTGGAACTGTGGCATTGTCCACCGGCACAGTTGTGGCACCGTAGGTGTACCTCCCAACGTTGCCAAGCACGAGACACATTCTGAAGAGTAACATTTGCAGCACAGGAAGCTCTCGTCAGAAAACTCGAACGTGGACGCGATGGAAAATTTCGTTGTGGGCATCCCTGGCTGCCACCCCCCGAGCCGAATAGAAAGTAGGACTGCGAGTTATGTTTCAGAGACATGCGCATGCCCGGAAGCAACTTCCACCTGAGCAACATGCAAAGAACGGACGTTAAGTCTCTCAACCGTGTGGAAGACAAGCGCGTCATTGGCCAAAAACGGGAACCGGAGGCGCACCAGTAGTCTCCAGCCTCAGAATCCGGCTGATAAACAAGGTGTTTGAGTTTTCGAGTGTGCATAGTACACATCCTTTTTTTGGACACATGTCAAGCTGCTCCTGCATTTCATTGAGGTCTGGGTGAGGGATACAAAGGAAAACAAACAACACACAAAAGCAAAATTCAGTGCTCAACAACATCAAGCAAGGGTCCAAATGTCAAGGTCCCACATATGAAACGAGACTCCAAGGCTGCAATATGTTTCACTTATCAGCACGAGTCATTCCACACGTTCCATGTGCACTCGCCAAAGTGTATGCACGTTGCAGCCGGCATGCCGCGTGGCGGCCATGATCTTCGAACTCAGCCAAGAACAATCGCGTGGCGACCTGAATTTCATGGATTGCCAGCTTCTTTGGCATGTTGAAAAACGTACTCATTCGTCATCATTCGTCTGCTCTGTCGCAAAGCCGCTCTACACTCATCTGCTACCAGAGCACGTTCAGCCTTTGTCGAACACTTGCCCCTCCACATGTGTCGATTTGTAAATATTCTTGCTGCTGCGTGGCGCCCCGTGTTGGCAGTGAGTAGCTGTGCGGCTCGTAGATAGGCACCTGCGGGTGCTCAGCGGATGCTGTGCGACCGCTCTGCCGGAGGGTGCTGACGTCTGACTTTTTTTTAAGCTCATGCTGGGACCACGGGGTTTGTGCCGGCTGCTTGGATAGGCAAGTTTGGAGCTGGTCCTCCTAGTTCCCGAGGCCTGAACCCTTGACAAAAAATCTAGGTTCTAGGTTAGAGGAGGACCTCCCATTCTTATGCGATGCCATCGCATTGCCACCGAGCCACCCGGAGCAGTGGGGAGTACAGGTGTTCGATTGTGGAAGGCTCAGAACCCACCTGGTCTGCACTCTTTTTAGCACAGTCGAGTGACACAAGCAACGCATCTCATGTTAAAATCTTAAGGCTTAAGACCATACAAAAAGATTTGGAAGCTGGCGTTTGGTTCGCAGTTGAACCCCGGCCTCCCATTCTCGAGGCAGATATCCAAGCTCCACCTCCTTGTCGAAAGTTCAGCACGCATCCGGCAACTAGCCGGATAACCAACTCAAAATGGAGAGGGTCATGATGCAACCGTGGCGTCGGGCTACTCCCTGTGATGAAGCTGCGGTCCTGGATGACATCCATTTCGCCATCTAGGTGGGTTGGCTGCAAGAAGGCTGCTTTCAGAGAAATTTCGTTCCACGCAGCTGACCACTCCTGAGACCAGGCCGAGAGTGTTTGGGTATAACTGACGAACGCACGAAGCAGCACGACTTTGCATCCCCAACTGATCACGCACACCCCGCCTGCTTGACACCTATTCTGTGCGTCTGAAACTCCAAGCATGAGTCAGACCTTCAGTCGGAAGTTCTTTTGCTCGGCAGGGGCGAAACAAAACAGCACACACCCTCGTGAACTTCCTGGGAAGTCTAGCAACTCAGCAACAGACCAATTGGCACCGTGGCGAAAGTCCTGGTAAACCATGCCGTGGGCTTGTCTTCTATTGCTCGCCATTTCTTGCAGGGAGAAGCCAGGAAAGCAACCGTGTCAGCCCTCGGGACACTGAGAACTTCAGAGCACACCAGTTTCACCACCTCGCTGTGCATGGACTGCCTGATTCCATGTGTCTATTTTTTTTTTTTGTGTCTACTTTTTATGGTGCCATCGTCGTCGGCATGGCGCCTGCTGTCATGCGCAACTTCGAAGCCCCTCTCAAACAGGACATGCGGAACGACACAAAACGTCGCACAACCATCACTTCACAACGAAGCACCATGCACGGCCGAATGCCGTTTCACACGAAAAGCTTGGCAGACTCGACGAAAAGCCTTGCACCCCTTCGACGCACCCTGCCACGCCGCTTCGAGCATTACAACATGGACTGTTCGGTCACAGCCGATCCCGCGTTTGCATCATCCAACTTCAACTTGGTTCTCTCACCAACTCCCCAGCTTGCTTCCGTGGTGTTGACGCCGATTCACGGCGTGGGTAATGTTTGGCTGGGATTGCCAAAAGTTTGGCTCCTTCATCCTGAGTCAACCTGAACCTCCGAAATCCCGAGCCCGAGAACAACCACCCAGTTACCCAATTCTTTGCAGCTCCTGAGGCTCCTGGCCGCCGAAATGTTGCAAGCGAGCACCGCATTGGGCCACCCTCGGAATGAATCGGGATCGCCCGACAGGTTCTATTATCCTTGTCGTTGTTGCCTTCGGGTCTGCAGGCTTAGGGGACATCTAACATGAAAGCGTGTGCACTTAGCTTTGTTGCCTCTTGAAGGCCCACCAAACGAACGTCAACTGAATATCCCCCACGGGCCATGCATGGCTCGCGATGTCTTTTGTCTCAGACGGTTCGAGGTGATCAGCCTCACCATATGCTATTATGGCTTTCGCCCCTTCTTTCGCTCCTCTAGCATCCGAACCTTCATCAAATCGTCAACAAAACGCTCCTTGGAGATTCGCCGAAGACCTCAAATCCGAAACTTCAAGTTCCTATGTTTAAACAGAAATCCTTACTTTCTTTAATCTCAGATGTCTGGTTTCTGCTTCCTCGATAAAGATACTCCGAATCTTGAAGCAGGCGTTGCTGTTGCCTCGCTACCTTTATGGGAAAGCTTCACTTCTTTTACATTTGAATATGCACCATGTTTTCCATTACGCAAAACAAGCAAATGTCTAACTCCTTGTGTTTTAGTCGGCAACCTCCGGTTGCCCTAATTTTGACAAGGAAAACATTTACGAGTTGGTTTTGCATGTTCATAGGCAGATCTTTCTTGTTTCTTTAGCGCTCAGAAAGACAGCCAATGTTCTTGCAGGGTTAGCCTTTGCAACCAAAAGAACGTGCCCATCTTGTTTTGGCGGTCCAGTTTTGCCTTTGACTCTACACTGAGAACAAAAAAGTTTAGCTTATGCAAAGCTCCATATGTTGTTTTTACCGTTTTCCTTCATGTCTGATGCGAACATCCTCCTTTACACGCAGTTCTGCTATGCTCCCTGGAGGAATTGCTTTAAAGAAACCGAACAACGCATGTGCACTTTGCTTGCAGCCGCTGAAGGCAAAGGTCCCGGCTCCATTTTGTAAGACAGAGAACCTGACAACTGCCGCGATTTGTCTGCAAGATTCCCGCGCTTGCCCTGAAACAGCACGATGCTATGAAGGATCTGAGAGTCTGACATTCGTAGGAATTCCAGATGACCCCAGCCTGGCGAACGTTTTCGCGCAACCACAATGAAACTCGGCAGGCGTTTGCCCACCTGGCGGTACCGATCAGCTGGACAGAAGAATAACCGCGGAAGCCGTACCTTGCAGTGAAAACTTCCGCACTGGCCATTTCTGGCGTGACCCACATCGAGCCCCGGACCACAGCGACGTCTCTCATGACCCGCTGGGTAGGTGGGGCCTAGTTCGCACGGACTCCGCGCATGCACCCTAGCCCCTAAGCCGTGAGTTCTGTAGATTAAAGTACAAGAAAAGACCGACAACAGCTTGGCATGCAAGTGGCGAAAATGGTGTTTAATCCCTCCATGGAAGAACCCGCCACGAGCGAACAACGAACAAGCATAACAATCACACAAACTTATGCATCGACTTTACCTCTTTCGAGCACCTGCAACACTTTTTCGCACACGACCACCAAAAAACGTGCAATCAACCACACAAAACCTCGTGCGTGTTTTCCCCCCGGCCCGATTCCAGGCCCCCAACGGGTGCAACGGTTTTTTTCGCGGAGTCAGGTTGAGCACCACTGCCCAACGCAAACACTCTTGCTTGACTCTTGCTTGCATCTGTGGTGGTGAGGTCATGTCTCGACAAATTGAGATCGGCACAAGCAGCGTGTCCTCAAACCGCACTAACCTCAGCACGGTTTGTGCAAAATCGTGCAGAACCCTTTTGCACGAACACTGAGCCACTGGCAATACCGTAACATATATGACAAGGAAGAAGATCCTTGGATGCCGCATTCGTGTCCGTCATGTGATGCGTCTGCACGGAGCTGTCGCATTGATTGCACGTGCTAATGGGTTGACAAGCATCGCTACGGCCAGCGGAACAAGCTGCTTGAAGTCTTGCATCTTGTGAATTCAACCGGTTCCACTCCATAGGTTGCTACGCACTGGCCTGGCTACAGACTATTCTTCGTGCAAGGCGACACAGCTGAACTTTGATACTAGCACAGTGCAATTTTGTTCTGCACATATGGTTTCCTATGTAGACAATGAAGACAAGCGTTGTCTAGCGCCTTGGGCCTTGGGTTTTCACGCCTTCCTCGGCAGTATGGTGACGACGGCTTGAACCACCAACAAGCACAACGTCGTCACCAATGCATAAGACTGATTCGTCACCAATGCATAAGACCGATTAGCTTGATTAACCAAGGAAGGTAGGAAAGCTTAGAAACAGCTCCCGTTCATATCCTTTCGTGATTGGACCGATTGCACTTCAACATGACGTTCCAAGTGGGAAAGATTGCCATTCAATTTTATTTAAACCGCTGGTGCTAAGGGGTGGGTGCGACGCTTCCAGTTCTTCAGCTCGGCTCCGGCGATTCAGGCACAAGCTTTGGCTTCGGCAGGTCTGGAGAGTCTGAATTTCGGATTTGTCAGCAAGAGGCAAACTGCGCCATGGTCACATGGAACTTGTGAATTTGAAAACAGCGATGACGATTTCATGCGGATTAATTGCCCAGGCTCTGAGCTGAGCGGCAGACCGAAAGCTCCAATCTTGCAGCAAATCCTTTTTTACGAACGTGAGCTGCTTCGGCTGGTTCTCGGGAGATTTTTCCCCGCGTGCCTGAACAGCAAGTCCGGTCCCAGTGCTCTGGACGCTACAGTTACAGGCCCAAAAGGCTTGGGGCCCTCGAGAGCGGGGAGAGCGTGGCAGCAAGGGTGCTTTGCAAAGCCACGCTCAGCAAACCCCACCAGCGGCGCAGCCAACCCTGCTTGGCGGCACCAAGCAAGGGCGGCAGGAGCGCGCTGAACTCTGAGCCTCGCCAATTGGGTGACGAAGCGGAGGGACTCGGCGCTCCATCGCCCTCCGGCCTCGCAGGCTAGGATGCAGAGGGCCAGGTCGCAGCAGCTCAGGGTAAGCTGCGCGCTTGCGCCGCTCAGCGACGGCGATTGCATTGCGATTGCGGCTCCATCGCGCGAGGCAGCGGAGGGCTGGGGCCTTCCTTCTCGTGTCAACGGGGAAACGAGTGTCACGTCGCAGCATAACGCTTCGCCGAGTGGGGGGCCCCCGTAAGCAACGAAGTCGAGGCGGTGGCGATCCGCGGGGGCCAACCACTGCTGAAGGACGATTTGGCCCTGGGGTCCGGCGGCTTCGCGCGCGACTCGAACCCATGCGTGCTCGAGGGGCTTCGCTCGTCGGGCGAGCAGTCCAGTGCGAGGGCACGCGGCGTGGTGGTCGCCGTAGGCATCCATCCGTGCCGCATCCGTGGCCGTGTGCGCCACATCTGTGCGGAGCGACCGGCAAGGGCAACCGCAGCCGCCGCCGCAGCGCTATGAGCATGCCGAGGCGGCGAAAGGCATCGCCCGTCGCAATGCCCCGCACACCGCCATCGGGTTTGCGCAGAACAGCTTCCAGGCCCGTGCCGCTCGAGCTGAACCGACCTGGCTGGCGCTGCAGGGCAAGATGCGCAGCCGCGCGGAGCTCGCTGAGCGCTGACGTGAAGGCCTGCCACCGCGGCGCGCGTGAAAGGACCCGGGGCGCGCAGGGCCGCCGGGAGCGAGGCTGGCGACCGCGAGGGCCGGTTGCCGGGGCTGTGCGGAGGTCGTTGGCAAGCGTCTTAGCCGCCGCGGCCCCCGCCGCGGCCCCCGCCGCACCTGCATAAGCTTCCAGCATTGTTGCTTGGGCGGCTGCGGACACATGGGGTAGAGAACGCCACGCCGCCCTCGCTGCCTCGCTCAGGTTCCCCGTCGCGGCATGCAACTATGGCACAAACAGCCACGAATTACGGTCCTCGGTGGATGGGCATCCTGCCATGGGAACGCGGGTGGACGACTTCTTGGCGACGGAGGCGGCATAAACCCGGACGTCGCTTCGTCCACCAGCGTCGGGGCCGCCTCGCCAGGGCGACCAGACTGGTGTGGGCTCACGGCCGGCGATGCGAACGGTGTGGGGGAACCTACGGAGCCATCGTCCTGCACCGACCGGGTTAGCGCGTCAGGGCCGGGAGCTCGCGCGGTTGACGTGTTTATTCTTTTCCGCGCACCTATTTACTCGCGGGGAGTCTGCTCTTTTCCTTCCTCTGCTTCTACTACGAGCAGTGGGTCTACGGCGGCGGCGGTCCATTCCCCAGCCTGCTGGGCTGAGGCGCGGGGGCACCCGCAAGGAGACCCTAGAGCAGG